CTCGCCGGAGGCGCGGGGCGACGCGGAGCAGCTTTTCTCGCCCCGGAGGACACGGGCGGCGGGACCGCGGCGCGTCTGGGCGGTCCCGACGCCCGTGTTCTCCGGGGCGAGAAAAGCCCCGTTCGTAACTGCGGATCCAACATAAGTCGGATCCGCGCAACTAGGGGACTGCCTGTACTCTTAATTTTATCTACTCCTCCCATGTGCTTTGTTAATTTCTCTCACTGCTACATGCTCCTCTAGTATCTCAAGACCAGTGCTTTCCAAACTTTTTAAGCATGACATCACTTTTTTAATTTAAATGCAATTCAGGATCTACCTCAAACTCAAACACCCTTGCCCTGCCTCTTTCCCACCCCTTTTCTGAGGCCCCACCCCCATTCACTCCATCCTCTCTCCCTCACTTTTATTAGGCTGAAGTGCAGGGGAGGGAATGTGGATTCTGATCTTGGGCTAAAGGATTTGAAGTGTGGGAGGGGTTCTGAGCTGAGGTAATTGAGAAGCGGGGGGGTTCAAGGTCTAGGCTCTGGATGAGTATTTGGGTACAAGAGGACTCAGAGCTAGGGCAGGAGTTTGGGGTGCAGGAGGGGTTCAGGACAGGGGACAGGGTTTGGAATGCAGGCTCCAGCTGGACACTGCTTACCACAGGTGGCTTTTGGGTGGTGGTGCAGGGGATAGTATGGGGCCCTAACCCAGCAGAATGCATTCAAGCTATGCTAAGGAAAGATACAGGACATACTGTGATGTTAAGTCAGGACATGGTTCCTTGTGTATTGAAAATTCAATCTCAATTAGAACTGAAAAACTCCTCAATTCAGTCTTTGTGCCAGGTTCAGCTCAGGGACACACAGCTGCCCTAATTGCAAGTTATTTTCATCTCTAACAATATAGCCTATAAAATGAAAGAAATGATATAATTATATGATTTCCCATGACACGTGAAGCATAGGACTCATGAAGTCTAAAAAAAAAATCTTAGTTATTCAAAGTGACCTACTAACTGTGGTTAAAATCATTAAAGGGAAAAATCAAAACAAGTTTAAACAAACTTTATTCTATTGGAAACAGTTAAATCAGTGGTTCTCAAAGTGTGGTCTGTGGACCACTAGTGGTCCATGACCATCTTGTAGGTGGACCACAGGCTCAGGGCTCAGTCTTTTCCCACCACAGTCTCTCCAGCCACGCACCCCTGTATGGTTGGAGCACCAGTGCCAACTTCCCACTGAAGAGTGGGGGGAAGCCCAAGCCTTGAGGACTGAATCTGGCTCGCAAGGGGAGGAAGTGGCTCCTGCTGGCAGGAATCCCGGCCAATGGGAGCAGCAGGGGGCTGTGGCAGTGGGTGGTGTGAGGTGCCCCTCACCCTTTTCACACACACCCATCCCACCTAGACTCTGTACCCCCACCCTTATTTATCCTCCCATCCCATCCCAACCCTGCACCCCCAGCTATCTGCACACTACTTCGCACCATAGTAATAGAGATGTACCCGTGTTAGTCTGGTCATGCTGAAACAAAAGACAGGACTATTCAGCACTTTAAAGACTAACAAGATGGTTTATTAGGTGATGAGCTTTCGTGGGCCAGACCCACTTCCTCAGATCAAATTGTGGAAGAAAATTGGCACGACCATATATACCAAAGGGATACAATCAAAAAAAGTGAACACATATAAAATAGACAAATCAGATTTTAGAACAGAGGCAGGGTGGGGTGGGGGGTTAATGTCTATGAGATAATGATATTAGAGGTGATAATCGGGAACGCTATCTTTGTAATGGGTAAGATAGTTAGCCTTTGTTAAGGCCCATTGGTAAAGTGTCAAATTTAAGCATGAATGACAGTTCAGAGGCTTCTCTTTGAAGTCTTGTGTTAAAATCTCTTTGAAGCAGGATGCAGGTAATCAGGTCATTGAGACAATGCCCATTCTGGTTGAAATGGCAAGAAACTGTTTTTTCTTTGTGAAACAGTCTGATGTCTGTGTTGTGTGCATTGATTCTTTGGCAAAGTGCCTGAGAAGTTTGTCCAATATACATAGCAGACAACACTGTTGGCACATGATGGCATAAATTATATTTCTGGATGAGCAAGAATATGTGTTCTTGATCTTATAACTGAAATGGTTAGGTCCAATGATGGTGTCAGCAGAATAAATATGTGGACAAAGCTGGCAATGGGGTTTGTTGCAAGGGAAAGTTCCAGGGTTGGTATTAGTATGGAATGTCCTGTGGTTGTTGGTAAGAATCATCCTGAGGTTAGGTGGTTGTCTATAACCTTTGCACCAGACCCTCACCCTCAACCTGCTCCTGCACCCAACCTCATGACCAGACCCCCCAGCCTGCTCCTGAACTTAACCTCTCTACCAGACTCCCATGCTCTTGCACCCATTTTGTCAACATGGGTGGTTGGCTGGTGGTCCATGTAAGTTTGTGGTGAGTGGGTTGGGCTGTGGACCAAAAAGTTTGAGAGCCAATGAATTAAACCATTAACTAATTGGATCAATAAAAACTGGAAGGAACTGTGTGCTTTAGTGGCAAGGCAGAGTGACAAGAACCCTGCCTGGGGTTTAGTCACTGCCTCAATGTGTGATCTTGGCAATCAGCCACCATCCTCTGTAGGGCCATCTATAAAATTACCTTATAGGAGCTAATGAATATTTACAAAGTGCTTAAAGATCTTCCAAATAAAGTCTCTATGCAGGCGAACATATCTCCTTGGACTAACTTATAAAGAATAAATCTACATGTAATAAACAGAGATGATTAGTATAGACGGATTAAAAAGGTTTTAAAGAAAACCACTTGTCGGGGACTTCTAACCCAGACGGCTTCAGTTCGTTGTCTGACCGCAAAGAGACAGGCAACACCAGCAAGGTCTAATCACAAAGCTCTTTATTGAAGAGCAATAGACAATAGAGAGCAGCCCGTCTCTACCAAGAACCAGCCCCCGATTTCTATAGCAAGTAGGGTTATATAGACAGTTCCGTCACGTCATAGACTATTTACTTAAGCAACCCACCCCCCTTTGTTAGTTAGAAACTTCTAGCATGGGTGCATACCTTGCCAACTATACAAGGTGGCCTTGATACATTAGCAACTTTCTTATTAAGACAGAAGGCGAGTACCAGACAACGAGGAGACGGGGAGTTTTCTTATCAGTTCCTTAAGCAAGCTGTTCAGCTCAGCAAGTACAAAAATGCAGCTGTTCGCTTGTCTCATGCCCTTGCTCAACTCATGTCTCAAATTTTGTTCAGGGACTACCCAGAACCCTTTGCTGGACTTTTCTCTGTCTGTCTTAGCATAACCACCCTAGGCCCAATTCTCTAGGGCCTAACACACTGCAGAAGGGGATAACAAAGCAAAGGGATGTGAATAATTTATTCAACACGTTTTCTGTTCCTAAAATGACCTGTGAGCAGCTGACAGATTAGTCCACTTGATTGATTGGATCTGCGGGATTGTTTCTGGGCATAACGTCTGATCTGCATATTTTCTCAAGCAGGTGGCAACCAAAAATGAAGCTGTGGCGCTTAGTTTTCACGGGGACACACCGGCCTAAGCTCTGACGGGACGCTCTGCGGGCTGTGTGAACCCTTCCTCCTCAAGGTCACACTGGATTTCTGCAGATACTCTCCTGCGTTCGCGGAGTATTTGTTACACCCATGTAAAATCCGCGCTGCAAATCCCTCTGCGATGACTGCAGAGCGTGGGCACGAAGGGGGGATCACTAGCGTTCACGGAGGGTTAGGGTGGGATCTCAGGCTACCTAGACAGGCACCCCCCCCCCACCCAGAAACCGCCCGC